CTTGTACTTAATCGTGATCTTCAAACACTACTAATTGAATGCACGTTCACCCATACAAAACAATAATCCTAATGCAATGTGTACAACCTATTATAAGAATCATAAGGTCTATGATTTGTGGAGTGATTCCATTTGTGGAGTGAATTTGTAGTTAAGTAGTGATCTGACTATCGTGCGCCACTGTAAATGACATGATTTATAAATTTACCGATTAAAAAGAAAGTACGCTTGTAATGAAGATATTTCTAATCTACACAAAACAATAAGTTGAAGAACATGTTATCAATGTTATATCGATAAACCTGACATGATTGTCGGCTTATGCATTCCATTAATGTTTACTGAAACACTCTACAATCGATCATAAATATTCTCCAGACTGAGATAACAGACGCGGATGTATTCAGAAAGGCAAATAACAAGCATTCAAAAGAGAGAAGCAAAACGATGATCTTCAAGGACGAAAAAGGAGCTGGTTTTAGAGATACATTGGCTACGTCAGCAGCCACTTATGACTCAGCTGCAAGTGGCTCCGCTCTCGGTTCGAACCTCGTCCTGGTGACCCACTCGAGTGCAATCCCTGACCCGCAAACTCCAAGCGACCTGCATCAGCAGCAACTGGCTCCGTCCCACGATCCAGTCTCCTCCATATAATTCGTGCGTGTTTTCCCGAGCTCTCGTTTCACTACTTGTGAGAGGAGTGGGGAGATTGGTTTTTTGTTTGTTCAATAGTACTAACAAATCCAATCTGTAGCTCGTTTTTATTAAAGGGAACGAAAATTCATTGTTATCAAATTTATGAATGTAACGTGGAATTTTAGATTTTAAAATACGCGTTTTTGGTGCCTAAAATAGGTTATTTCATCATCTCAATTAGGCATTTTAAGTGGTAGAATAGGCACAGAGAAAACAAGAAACACACAAAAACACATTTTTACAATTTATTGTGTATATTTCTCTAAGATATAAACATAAGTCAATAGTTCATAGAATCAGTATTGTACATTTAATGGTAGTAATATTTATGAATAAGTTTAATTGTTTGTCCTCTAGTTAGAATTATTCGTACTACCCTATTTTGCCTCACAATAAATTACTATTACTTTTTCCAAGTTTTCAAGAAAAAGTGAAAGTCTCTTATCAGTAAATATCACGTTTTTTGCGGAAATTCAATCGCTTTGTCCTAGAAGCGGAAGCAGCCTTTCCCACGGAGTTAGGAGGTAGTGGCATGGAGACTTAAGTCGCGAGATCCTTGTCCTCTCGTTCATTCTCGCTCTCTTACAGATTCATGCAACTTAAAATTAATATCATCCTTGTCTGTTATGCCGACACAGACGAAAAAAATTAAAAGTCGCCACAGACAAAAAAATCAGGCATATTAGTCTCATTTCAAGGTTTTAAAAATAATTCGTAGGCACAAATAGGCATCAATGTTGAAACAGGGCCATTTAGGCAATATAAATCAATGGGTTTTAGTTCAAATAATCCTAAAATGTGTTTATAAAACTTTATTTAGTGCATGGTACGCAGGAAACAATATATTTTTACCTAAATATCCGCGGTCTAGTTATGAGCAAAGCTTGTTATTTTCTAATTTTTATGTTTACTACTATGTTGGTGACGGAGAGGGATAAGGATTCCAGAGTGTCAAAAAAGTGCACGTAAAATAACAGATACTGAGCAGTAAACTTCGTTTTAATCACTGATTGCATTGTCATACTTCGTGTCTTATGTGAATGAAGATTTAACGAATAACTGGAATGTTGGCGTATGGTTTCGTAAGTAATTGCTGTAATACAGCATTGATTGTTCTGATACGCGTGAATCATTTTGCATTACTGCTCAAGTGAGCAAAGTATTGAAACTTTTCGTGTACTGGCGCGAGGTCGTCTCCAAAGCAGATTGTGAAGTGAACCTCATGTGTGATTTTCCCGATGATTCTCAGAGTGTGCATGACACTCGCAAGACTGAAATGTACAAGTTATCAACGTTAAAATAACGGGGTATTGTTTGATGCATGCCTCTGCACTTATGACCAATTGTGTGAAGCAATCCTACCCGATTCTTCTCGAAAGAATAATCGTAAATTTCTTAAACAGCAATAAATACACACTTCATGCAAAGTCATCTTTTCTGCAGAAATAATAACTGAGATTCATTCATCATTCTTATTTCATTCTCCATTCTATTACATTTTTAAAGCCCATGTATTTTCTTAAAATCAATTTTCATTTTTCTTCTTTTATCACGAACGGTAATTATGATTATTATCGTGTTAACGATTCTCTATGCCAATGAAGAGGTGTGATTTAGCACTTCAGTATCAGAGCTGCGGCAACTTTAAAAATGTGTCACTATCTCTGGTTAACCACTTTAGATGCTAAGAAGTGTCCTGCATATTCTTGCTGATAGTATGCTTAAATTCCATATGAATCTCATAATGCCTATTGACTTAGATGAAATATTAAAGAGATTGCATCAGTTTAGTATTGTTACAAAGTACATTGCGAACACATCTGGACTCTAAACGGGGAGTTTTCTTATCATTCATTAAACCTTATATATTCAAATACCCCATTATACTCCACTGATAGCAAGAATATTTATCGAGTTGGTAATCTTTGTAAAAATTATGGCTATAACATTCTCTCAAACAATTTTGGTCTTCTTTTTCTCTGAAAGAATTCTCGCTCAATTAATAACTGAGAACAAAATAGAAAGTTACACTTTTTTGTGTCATACTGAGAAAATTAATAATATTTCCTTTTCTCGCAATGGCGTCTTCTATGTGACAGATTATTGTTTACACTCGTGTTGCTGCAGAATAACCTCTTACCCGAATTATTCATGTTCAGTAGCAATGAATACTTTTCGGGATTACACGTCTTTGAAGAACTCAGGGGCAATACCAATTTCTGAAATGAATACATTTTTTCAGAGATAATCCTGTGTAGTTTCAACAATGCAGTATGTATCTCGTGTTAGGTAACGTCTCACTGAATTAAAATGCGATTGAGTAAATGCTTCAAAAATAATAGTTAGTGGGTTTTCAATCAGATAAAGGAATATGAGCTATGAATGGACACAGACCAATCGACTATTCCAGCTTGAATGTAATGTAACCTTTACCTATCAAAGGTTGGCACAGATATCCTAACGCTATATTCAAATCGCCCGGGCAGAACCCACTGCACGAGGTAGGGATCCCCGATTTATATAACATTCATAGAGAGTTGAAAGGTAGCGTCTATGCCGACCTTCGCGGCAAGGAAGAGACGAGAGAGGTGAGGAGAACGAGGCAGGCGGCCACCAATGACGGATGGCGATAATGAGGATGAATAATATTGCATCGTACCAACAAGTTATCGTAAAAATTTGGATATAGCTCTTGAATATGTTGGTACAGTCAATTAATGAGAGGCGAATATGAAGAGAAATAACAAATAGGTTAATGGACATCATAAATAACGAAACTATTACGTTTCAGCTTTACTTCTTCCTTCCTTTCTTGTAATACCTTGATGTATTAATTTACTTTCAAGTTTGATATTTTCAACATAACGGTTCTGTTCGTTCTGAATTGGTGGATTTGGTAAAGTCGTGTCGCCATACCCAGAGCGAAGAAGTGGAACAACGAACACCAGAGGACGAACAGTCAAAGAAAAGCTTGAACTTACTTGTGACAGTGTCAATATTTAATTGTGTGTGTGTGTGTGTGTGTTTGTGCAAATGTGTCATCGTTTTTGTATTTGTTATTTTGTCAATTTTTTTCTGCAAGGGCGAAGAACCAAATTTTTTTATCGATTGACTTTGTTATTGTAAAAAGGGTATTTTTTGTTATTTAAGGTCGCATCAACTACTAGGTCATTAGCGACCACTGTTGCTTGTAACGGTATGGTAACTATGAGGATGACACGAGATGATGATGATAGGGGATGAAAGGACGAACACAATACAACCATGCCCGAGGCGGGACTCGAACCCGCGATCCTTCGGTCCGAGGTCGCTACGGCACTACTTCCTTAGCGATGTCGGCCATCCGGCCCGGCAAGGGTACTTTTGTTATGTTGTTTAAGAATATATTTATTTTGGATTGGAAAGTTTCTAGATATACATAATTCCTTTTCTAAGAAAAAAATCCACGATCCCGTATATATCTATTTGTTTTTTGTTGTTGTTCTTTTCTCTTATTTTTTATTATTATGAACAGGTTACGGTTGTGAACGTCTAACATTTACAAAAAAAAGTAAAACGCTAGAAAGGTTTCAATAACATGGAGTTTCTTCTCATAATCGTCTATAGAAAATAATTTATTTAAAGGAATTGCTTCAATACCGTTAATTTGTACATATGTTAATACGTTAACCGTTAATTTGTACCGTGAATCGCGTCCGTGCAAATAAAATGTCTTTATGAACGAGAATGTGTAAATATGCGTTAATGTACGTAAACTGAAAATGCGCTAATAATTTTTCGGAAGACCCGTTGTTAGCGTAGACCTTACCTCGGCTGAGGCAATGTCCGTCTGGGGGAGTCACATGGGAGGGGAAACCCTGCAATTCGAAATGCAGGTCGGCATTGAACTTTATATTTCAGTAGCACACATTCGCCGTCACTTGCAGACACATGACTATACTTACGGAACTTATTTTCATAGTAGATGACGCTCCCAGAAATACTAAATAATTATGTCAATCTTATCCAAAATTAAAACAAATTGAATTGCTTCGACTACAGGTCCAACAAAATTTTAAAGGAACACTAAATGTTTGGGGACACTTAGTATGAATATTTTGAAAATGTTCTAAAAAAGAGCTCAACATGTTTTCTTTAACTATATTGTCCTCATTTCGATTATCCCATCACGTTTCACCCAACAGTTGTGGAGGAGGGTGGACACTGTACGCGCCGTTTGCGCGCCTCGCCCGCCGCGGGCCCGCCGCCGCCTTGCGGCCTTGAGTTATCACTCGGCACCGAGCGTTCTTTCGCAAACACTTGGCTTACGTGGCCAACGGCGCGGCGGCGGCGTGGGCGGGCGCGTCCACGGTGAGCTGCGCGGAGGCGAGTACGGACGGTGGATGGGTGAGGCAGCCTGATCGCGACGCGACACGACGCGCAAATGAATTCGCTCCGAGCTGCCAGGGCGCGGCCAGCGTGCGGATGGCAAAGTTACGCAAAAAATTGATTTTTCCATATGAAGAAACTTCCGAAGTAAAATGTCCTGGTTCTATTGCAAAAAACATGTTAACATTACACTTAAGTATATTCTGCCTTAAATTCATCTCACTTTTTTAATCAATGTTCTGCGTAGTAAGGTTCAAATTACACTTGCAAATTAATCAAAACACGTAACAACACTAGAGAAAGATGCGAATAGCAACTGGTTGCGTGTCGCCTGTGGATCGACAGTAGTGACAGTTCTCAATGGCTGTTGATTACGAGTACTCCATAAATCAAATAAATATTGGAAACTTTATTCATATCATTAGTATTTTTTAAACATCGAGGTTTCTGGACAGATATATCAATCAGAAAAAAACATCGAAATCAAAACATCGATGTTATAATATCCATGTTTCTATTAGAAAATATCGATGCTTTAAAAGAGGAATATTTTCTACCCTCGACGCGACACGCAATTGAAGTCGCTTCTAGTTTAAAGGGGCGTCTCGCGCATGGAATGCTACATCGATGTAGATGATTTCAAAACATTGACGTTGTATTACAATATCGATGTTTTGTACATCAATGTTTTGGGTTTGATGCTTTTACGTTTTCGATGTTTTGTTCGTAGATGAAAAATCCTCATAATGACAATTTTGTAAAATTGAAAATTAGAAATAATAATTCATGGTTTCACTGCCTACGCAATCCAACCACAGGAACACAATTTGCACAATCACCATCGATAATACTATCCCTCGTACGAGATGATCCTGTTACCATGGTGTTTCCTTCATCCTTCGTCGTTTGCACATGGAGAAGCGCTTTTAAAACTTTGTCTGAACAATTTTTGTTCCTACGCAATATCTAAATGTTGCGTAGCAACAAACGTTTTTTCGGTCTCATCGCAGACTCTTGTCATCAAACACTTGAGAAATGTTATCCGCTGTTCAGCTCTGGGCAGTATTCCGTGAAGACGTGGACTCGGTCCCCGAGCTAAGGCAAAGAAGGGAGCTTATCTACTTCCTGGAAAAGAAGGCAACTTCGATCTACTTCTAAGGCAAAGAAGGGAGCTTCGATCTACTTCCTGGTCAGGTGATCATAGTGGTGATTTGTCTTTACCCTCTATTAAGGAAGGAGTGATTTTACGGGGTCAATAATGGTGGTAGATAAATTATTATGGATCTGTTGATCGTTCAGCTGAGGTATTTGGCGTGCCACATTCCCATGGTTGAAACCCTAGATTCTTATCCGGAACGTGAACCCGCAGCCGCAACTTGTACGCTGTGACAAGTATCTGCATCACCAATGTTCGCTGAATGGCCATGCCTAGTACATTTCGTTACCGTTTTTTGTTGTTGAATATTTATAATTGGTTCCAATGGATGATTATATGAATGTTCTAAATCAGGGTTGTCCAACTGGAGGCTCCCGGACCGCATGCGGCCCGCGGTTCCTTTTATTGTGACCCGCGAAAGATTTTCAGTCAAAAGTAGAAGTCCTTTGCATCCGTCTCGCCCACCCATTGCAAGCGTAGCGCACGCGCCCTTCCGGGTCAACACCCCTTTTTTGGAAATATAGGTTACGATTAGATTTGGGGAATTTTCTTCTAGAAAATTCAGAAATCATCCCCATGCGATTCACTGGGTCATGAATGATATAGCCTGATATCACGGATGGTTTATTCACTTCCCTCCCCTCCCCCGTTTCAGAGAAGCCGGGCAATCTGCCGAGATCAACAATACGGGGAAGTCAGTTGTGGATCACCCGAGTAATGAAAATATGACCCTCAGCCATATTCATATTTTAATCGAGGTCCTCGAGGCCTTGCAAGTAGGACGTCCCCGAGTTAGAACATATTTTCAACTGTTACTGTAGATATCAAACATCAGGACTGAATTTTAAGTTATGCGTTGGAAACTTTCAGGTGGTAACTAAGTATTCGTATTTAGAACTTGCTTTGATAAGTGAAGATGAAAAATTCCAATGTTTCACTTCCATGTTTCGTAATAATTTTTGCAAACACAATATAAATTGAATAAAAATGTATGTTGATAAACGGCTACAAAACATTTTTGTCTTATTTTTCACATCTACTCAAAAATGCTTTTTAACTCTTTTATTTCGATGGACTTAAACCAGATCTGCCTAAAAATGTTAGAACACGCTGCAAGGTTGGAAGTGACTTGCAAGGAATTCTCCCCAAATGCAAATCGCAAGGTCAAGATGCGCTTCATGAATTTCCGATAACTAAAATATCTTAAAATATGAAATGGTTTGCGATGCCACAACGACCTTCGAATTTACGTATGTGATATGCAAATTCATGTAAATCATTTCACAATAATGTTTTTGAGAGTAGCCTCCAAGTTTGTTTCTAGTTACTTCCGCGTTACTAAATTGTACATTAAATCGCACGTGACTTCTCCCTCACCAAAAATATATATTTATAACTTGAACTGCTGAAGTCATTTGAGGTACAAACGTGATATAAGAAGTAGATTCTACATATTGCAATGAAGATGCTGTGAATGTCGTCGGAGGAATGAGTGACTGAATTAGAGGCAGGAGAAACTGGAGAACCCTGTAAAAACCAGCAGAGCTTGTTTTGCCCGCAACATGTGTGGGCCGAGAGACAATACATTCGGGCCGTGATAACGATCGTTATTCACTAATTATCAAACTTTCCTATAGCCACAGCCGACATATCTAATTTTAGCATACTAAGCATACTTGCTGCTTCAAATTTTAAGATCTGTCCCAACTTCCCCAGTCATTTCTCAACCACGTTTATTCTTGTGGCTTGAATGTTTTCTGCATTAATTGTTGAGATGTTTAAAATGATGTCATGTGCTTCTTTTTAAAAAAAATGAGAAATTGTTGAAAAATAAACCCTAAGAGACCGAAAAGGTTTGGTAAGCCGCGCATTTCTAATACGGTTTTTTTAATTTCTAATTTTTTAAGAACTCTCTCTCTCTCTAATACACACGCACACCAGGAGAAAATTGTTAATGACGGTGGGTTCTAAGAGAGAGAGAGAGTGAATTTTAGAAGAGGTAAAAGGGTGTTCGAATGTTCTTTGTTTGTAAAGATTAAATGAAAATTTAGAGATATGCCGTAAAAAGTGTTTGTAAATTAACTGTTTCGCACAAACTGTTTCACTCAAAAAACTTTGACGTATAAGTTGCTTCCGAATGATTGATTATAATTTAGTGTTTCAGGGCGCGTCAACAAGTGACGTGGGTGTACTATTCCGGGAGAGGGATGTGCCCTCCAACCGTGAGATCCGGTGCGGGTCTACACGACTGCTTGAGGGACTTCCCTCTACAGGACTCTCCCAGAGTGAGCTACCTCTCATTCCGGAACAAGCTCGAAACTCCCGTATGGCCTTCCGGTAGGAGTGTAGTTTAAGAGCGCCTAAAATGGGAGATGACGGGTCAATGATGATGAAGGGAAGATCGCGCGTAGCGAGTCCCATTTGTCAAGGCACTTTTATGAAATTTGTATAGTATTAATCAGAGAAATCACAGAAAAGCGCCTATCAGAGCAGCCAACCGCTAGAATTCTTCTGCAGAGAATGGTTGGATTCGACCCACCTACTAAATAGTCGTGGACTGGAATCAAGGACGTGCCGGCAAGTTCTGCACAGAGACCGCGGCAAAGGTCCTCCTGAGCCATCGCGGCATGTGTTTGCCATTATGTTCCTGTCCTTCAAACGTAAATTCGTCCACCGTTGTAGACCTCCCTTCTGGCTTTGTATGCGCGCCCTCAGGTGCAGGTGCAAAAGAAGGCGAAGGCACTCGAGGCCGCTTCCCAGAGCCGCACTTCCGGCCAGAGTAGCCAGCACTTCCGGTTGGAGCGCCCTGCGAAGACGACCCGCCCGCGACTCTCAGCGCAGCACGCGCTCCCCCTCCCCCCTTCCCCGGCCGCTTACGTCACCGCATCACGCCTGCATGCTAATCCGGTTAGCTGCTCTGCCGCCGCCCGCCTCGCCAGCAGCCCAGCCCCCTCGACAAACTGTTCAGAGGAGACGACTTACGTAAAAGTATGGGCTCACAAACTCTTCTCCGCCTCAAACATTACTGTTTTTTGCGAGTGCGTTGTGTGAGTGCTTGAGGGGTGGAGAGATGCGGGGATCTGAGATGATATATTACGCAGATATACTACATTGTATACGTGCAAAAAAGCACTTAGAATCTCGAGGACACAAAGTTTGATTCCATTGGCAGCAGCTGCTGTCACCTTTCTCGTAATTCTCTTATCACCCTCTGATGTGGGGTACAGAACTCTCTTCGTAGAATCAAATACAAATATTTCTGTCTTGTCGAGAACAAATCGTTTAGGCAGAAAAAAATAAAAATAAAATGGCTTTTCATTATGCACAAATTAACTGGAATATTACCTGCACGTTAATGTAGAGTACCAGTACGTTAATGTACATTACTGGAACGTTAATAAACGTTAGTTGACAACAATCAACAAAGAAATGTTTTGTTTTATTTTTCCGACGAAGTTTAATGATACCATTGCAGTCAAGAGATCAGGAAGACTGGCTAACAGATTTTAAAATGAAGGTAATTTAAATAGCTCTATTCATTTTTGGCTACTCCAGTAGTCACAATTCTGTCAAATGAAGCAGACTAAGTTCAAACGTTTTGAAAACCAAATAACACAGAAGTTGTAAACGTAATATATTATGAAACTGTGATAAAACGATGGGTATTAATACACAGGTATGAAATATTACGATAGAGGGAGTTCATATGAGTGTATTATTACCCAAGAAATCGGGTTTCATACAGTACTTTTTCTACAAATAATATTATGTCATGAAAGTTAAACTTTTACAATGAACGGTTACGTGACAGCCGATGCCAAGTTAGTCGAAAATTGCATTTTTATATTATTTAAAGAGAAGAAAAATGTATTTTGGGGAAACTGTTAAGCAATGAAAAGCAACAATTTCTTAAGTTGTAATTTTTTATTTACTTCTGTAATATCTTCGTTTTCTTGCTATGGATTTGGTGAAATTTCGCATTTTCGGTAATAGTTGACAAGCAACAAAATTTCAAATATGAGAACTATTGAAAAATAAAAAAAAGCGACAAATTCCCATCTAATTATTTTTTATTTATCTCTGTAATATCTTGGTTTGGAAACAGCGCAAGGCATGTGTGGTTTATTTCACCTCCACACCTCGGCAAAGTAAGTCCACAATTCAATGAAACATTTAACAGAACCATGTCCAATGATTGATTATTTCTCAACCTTAAACTTGTCTGTTATTTGTCAGACATCTAAACTATAATAAAGCTGTGTCATTATGATTCATTACGCAACGAACAGTAGCCAAGTAATACGAACATTACACAAACGGAGTATCAGCAAATCGTGACAATTTATTATGGTCTGGGCTGTCCGCCTTCTCAGTCTTCGACGCGGCGTCACCCGGTCAGCCCAGATCATGGCTCTGGTCGCGGAAGCCTACGACTTCATTTGACAATTTATTAATTCACGTACAATATACCATGAATATTAATATTTCTACTTTCCTCAGCTCTAGTTATTTAGATTTGTTTTCAGTATATTTGAGAGTCATTGCATAATTCTTAACGTTGTGTTCTGGCTTTGGATAATTAAACATTCTCATATCAGTGATTGTGATGAGGTGTAAGACATAATAAGCAATTCAAGTCTGAATAAGTTATCAGATCGTAAGGCGCACTTGTTTGCCATGTTCTATTGTAATTGGTCTAATGAGGCTTCTCAGACGTTCTAAACTGTTATAAAAGTGTTTTAAAATGTAATAATTTGACATTTTAATTACAATAGCAAAAGAAAAATGGCCACTCGCCCCAAGCTTTGGAACGGAATGGGGTTCAATCGTGAGTGACGGAGGGACACACATCGTATACCCGACTATGCAGAATACGGCTTAAACATGCACTACGCAGGAGCTCCCAAAGAAAACTAGGGACCTGAGGCAGTAGATCCATGTGAGCCCCTTATTTCCAACAAAATTTCCCCGTATTTATATTATCAATAATTTTTATTTGATGCCAATCATATTTCAACTACAGTTTAATATTTTGTTCAAAAACCCTATTGAACAGTGGTATAATAGTAATAGATATACCTATATATATATAGTATATATTATAACGATTAGTATGCAATATGCATTTTGTACAATTTTCGGGACCCTATTTCAGTGGCCGGCCCATTTCCCCAGTTGCGCCCATGTGAAACGCCCCTGTAAGCGCCTGTGATGCTTCATTAATCTTGCAGTTTTTACTGTTTCCCAATTTTACCGAAAATAAATTGAATAATTAGTTCATTGAGACGACCTACTCTGTTAATTTCTGTAGGACTCGCGAGCAGAAGCCTCATCAGAGGAGCAGCAGGCCAACGTCAAGCTAAACGTGGTGGGCGGCGTTTGGACGGTTGCGGGAAGGGGAGCGGGAGGGGGCGGATCGGGAAGGGCGCACAGGCGCCGTCCAGCCGCCCGGACCGCCACGCCCCCGCTACCAGACCCACCGCGCCCCGTCCCCCCCCGCCCACCCCACCGCACACGAGGAGGGCACGTGCGCTGTCTCTAGGGTACGGGTTTTGCTGCGCACTCCCTGTTGCTGCCAACGTTTCCTCCCGTAGGTGCATCGCGACACGTTAAAGTGGCAGAGTGTGCTAAGCACAAACCACACATTCAACCGAAGGAACAGTCTGAACTTTTCAGATGAATGAAAGTGCATTTAATGACCACAATTAGTGGGCGAGTCTCAGTGTCTCGAATATGAACACGAAAATAATTATCTCAGTTACCCAATGTTTGAAAGTCGTGTTTTTCAAGTTTGGTAAGCCTAAGTGTTTTTTTACCTGTTATGTGTTGAAAAATGTGCTCTAATAAAAATCATTATTTCTACAATAAGTTTGAATGGCATTTATGGTTGGAATGGAAAAGGGATTACAAACTTTTGCCGTAAAATTACGGTGGGCTGAAAATATTATTGATAAAAGGTAAAAAAATGTAAAAATAAAAATAAATAAGAAAGGTTGGGACATAAAGACAGAAATTCTGCTCTTTAAACGCATGTGTTAAAGAAAAATGTTGATTTGATAATTTTTGCTGAAACCCGACTTAACACATAACGACATCAGCTTCATACTGAAATTATTTACTTTCTTCGTATTCAGTTTTAATAGTTTTGATGTGTTGAATTTGTAATAGAGGAGGAGTTTTTAGTTGTATTAATTTTTATGAGTTTAGTTATTTTTGTGATTTGAAGGAATAGCAATAGTAATCTTACCTGAAGAGAAATACGATCAAGGAAAAAGTAAAAATATAATACCTTTCAAAGTTCTTCTTTTTATTACAGTTTTACTATTTTTGGAAATTTCAAGAAGTATTTTCGTTGGAAATACAGTTAACCAACAGTGAAATGAAACCGGGTTGCTATCGTGTTAAGAGTTTGATTTTATGGAGAAGAACGGGAATGGGATGGGCTTTTTCCGTGAGTCATAAACTCTAACCCGTGAAGTCCAACCCGATTCGGCTCCAAAAAGAAGTTACTCTTTCAATAACCACATTAGTCTATGATTGTTTATTCTTTATACTATATTTCCAGAAAAAAAACAAGGCGTTCATATAATTTTAGCAATGTTCCCTGAGAACATTTAATATCTTAACTTGAATCAACTATTCAGAATTACCAATGGAAACAATTTGAAACTTTATAATTTTTAAGTAAAATGAAGAATAATTTTTAGGTAAAATTAGAATATTTTTGAGGTAAAATTAGAAATAGTTTTCAGTAAAATGAGGAAATGAAAAACAGAAGATCCATCACTATCATCAGTAATTGTAGATACGTAAATACACATTTCAACGTCACGAATTGTTGAGTTTTCATACAAACAAAAACGTAAGGATCTTCATCGAAACAAACTGAGCATTTTCCCGGTCCCGATTCTTCGGAATAAGCGCTCCTCTGCTAATAGGAAAATATATAATTTCCGAGCGCTTCTTGTTTGCACACACCGCATATCGGCTCCGAAAGCACATTGAACTGTAAAGCAGGTGCATCTCGCGTGATAGTTTCACTGCAAAGCCACTGCGCGGAAGAGGCACCTGCTTCGTTCCACGTCGCAAACGCGCAGGCGCAGAATCAAGCCACGCGCCTCGACTCACCGAAGTACACGGGCTTCTGACACTTGGGGCAGTTCGGCATGTTGATGGTGTGGGTCGAGCGGCGGCGGCGGCGGCGGGCGTTCCGAGCGGGCAGGCGGGCGGGCGACGAGTGCGGCGCGGAGTCCGCGACGGGCACCGGCCACCACGGCCCCCTGCCCCGGGCCCGTGCCCCGTCCCCCGGCCCCCGCCACCGCAGCTCAGCCGGCACTCGGGTATCCGGCGCGGCCGCGCACGGCACTTCGCTCGCCAAGACACTCCACTCCGCACGACCCACTATCTCCTGGAGGCGCGTAGCACGAAGCCTCGCAAGTGCCTTCACTCGCCGATAGCAGGCGAGAACAATACTCTGCACAGCATGCCGAAGTGAGGCGATTGGGTGAAGTTCCTTAATCATAAACAGAATAAAAACGGCATACAAATTTTCAGCAATTTACAGTCATAGCCCTTTCTAAGTTTCTAATCATTAGTTAAACCTAAGCAATCTACGAGAAGACTTTCAAAATTATCAACCCTTTTAGTTTTAACTTCTATGTAAATTGTTTTTATGTGAATGAACTTAATGTGCGCCGATGAACGGCACTTAAACTCCGCAGCCACACTCCGTCCCAGTGAGCAGCGATATTAGTGTAAACTTTCATTTGGGATCAGCTGTTGTATAGATGTTGTTTGCAGTATTGTTAAGAAATAATTCAAAAGCGTAAATCGCAGTGAAAACAAAAGTGTGCCCAACCTAATTTGTGTATAAATTACTAATGTTCAATTACAAAACCAACAGTTTTACTGTTGAACAATTTTCAATTAACTTTATTATTATAAACTAAAATAATTAAATTAAATTTATTTGCTATCTGTCGTAACATGTCGTGGCTCTTTAACCTTTGGATTAACTCTGCTCTGAAGAGGTAAAATTATTTCTCAGAAAAGACGCAAACATAGTTTTTTTACCACAACAACTAACCAAACTTTAATTCATGCAAAAATGGACTCAGAAAAGTAAGCAAAGTGTAACATAAAAGCTTATCTCGCTAACCTCTTCTTCTTGTGCTATTTCTGTGTTGATGCATCGAAAAGCCAGAATATTTCGGATGACTTGAACCTCAGAAGATATCCAGCAGAAATTAGAAACGGCATGACGCAATGAGACATATTGTTCCCCGTGACAATAAAAGTTGTATGAAGTTGAGGAAGAAACCTAGAACTGGCACATACGGTGGTGGGTACTTTTATATTGACAATTTGTATTTGTACTATGTAAGTTCATATTAAACAGAAATCGTAAATACAGTAAAGTTGCCTGGCTCGTCTCTTCTCAGAAAAAGAGAGTTTCATGAAACAGAATCGATGGAATCGAATCTTTAAAAAAAATGTATGCTTCATAACTATCGACAATGTAATGAATCATGCCCCAAAGATTCGTTCTTTCAAACCGCCTTACCCTTCCCAACACGTTTCTGCGACAATTCATTATACTATTATGTCCAATCGTCAAAGTGATAAGTCAAGTCGTAGCGATTCATGTGATGCCGGAAAAAAGGGTATAGTAATCCACTGCGTTTATCCAACGTTCTCGTAGATGCATTGAAATCATTAAAGAAAACTTTTTCCTAGAATCGCAATATCCTAGACGGAGACAATTGAGTATTGGGTCGATCGTTGTTTATCGAGAGAAATCGAATGAACAATTGATCATTTCTGTAGGTGCCGTAAGTTACGCAAAAAACATTTTAGTTTGTTTTGCTTTTTTTTAACGGAAAACATGTTTTTTTCAAATTTACAATTCTAAATTTCTTAGAATTTTCTGGATGAATTCGCAAAAAAATGATCTGTTCTCCACCAGGAGACCAAGACGCGTTGAATGACACTTCATTTGTCTCCATTGGTGGACAGGAAGAAGTCTAACCGTGACTGACGGACGGTCGGCGTTACGGACGGACGGAGGGGTGGACGTACGTTTGTTACTACGTATGTGGATGTTCGAATACGTTGAGAGATCCGGCGTACACGCAGATTTTTAATGTTTTAATGTCGTGTTGCCAGTGCTCTCCCATTCCAGAAATCCTAACAAGAGCAATGTACGGAAATGCGTTTTCATACAATGTTGAAACTATTGGCGACATGCTTATCAGAAAATGGAAACCTTGTGGCGCAAATTGTCATTCATTGACTTGCTGTCACTGTTCTTTTTTTACGTGAAAATTTGTCTTCAGATAACAACCTGGTAAGTTATGAAGAAGTAAATTAATTAAAGATGGAAAGAAAAATATTATGAAAACGTAGAACTATGTACTGCTCTGTCGGTATGTTGAATGCCAAAATCATAAATAGTTGATTATTTTTATTTTTCTTCATGATTGTCTGTATTACTTTTATTGATGTACGTTTCCAAATTAATTTTTAGACAATCAGTTTTCTAAATTTCAAGTTATTTAATTCTAAAAATTAGTTTGGAAACTTACGTCAAGAACATTAATAGTTAAGTTAATAAATCTTGTTCGTTACTCCCAATTATGGCAATGCACTGTCGCCAATGTTTTCGAAAGCAGTTCTTTGCTTTCATGTGAAAATGTAAGAAAAGTGTGAACAACTCTGCAACTTGGTTCCATTGCGGCAGCCGACCGAGACACATCGTGCTCCGATCGCGTGCAGTGA